GGAGCCGGTGTTGAGTGCCCAGCCCAGCTCCAGGCACACCAGGAGGGTTGAAGACGAGGAAACTGCAGACAACCAGGATCCATTTGACAGCGTTTACTGTCTCCATGGGCTGCGACCTGTGTCCCAGCCCCAGACACACACTGCTGATCTGTGGGCACTGTTGGTTTCTGGAGTAGAAGGCAAGAAGGTGCACAAAAGGAACCCCAAACCAATGAGAAAAATATTAATTGTAGAATAGCTCTTATAGTAGGTACATAATATTAAATATAATATTATTAACTCTTACATGTCACAATGTCTTCCTGTTTTGTTTCCTGGATTATACATTACCAGTGTCCTGTCAGGAGCAGCTGAGTAACAATATTAACAAAACCAATCGCAAAAGACATCACATTTGTCTCTCATGAATAATAGGTGGGCACCCCTAATGACTGTGAGAGCAGAACCAGATCCTCCCAACAAAGCAAAGCCAGCAAGAGCAAACATGCATTCGTACAAGAGAAGCACCATGGGCAGTGTGGGGTAGCACCCTCCTGCTCGACCTTTGCTTTGGGGTGGTGCACCTTTCTGCTCCCCTAGGAAAGAGTCTTTGAAAACAGAAACAGCCTCTTAATTTTCCCAAACTGCCCTGTGATTAGAAGTGTCATCCCAGACCTGGGGGAAATGGGGACACTAAGCATGTGTGAGGAGAGGCTTTAAAACCCCCAGTCAGCATGATGAACCATGTCAGCCACACAGACAAAGCTCTGTTTACAATTAAAAAGTACAAAATACCAACATCAAAAGTCACAGGCCACATGGCCAAATTACAGAATAATGACCTACATCACACACATCTAGGAAACCCCTCCACACTTGAACAAAAAAAAACACCTTCAAGCACTGACACGACATAAGGAAAGCAACGTTCTAACACTCTTGATAACAACACACTTAGACTGTGGTAATGCATCAATCTAAGTTTGGAGATGCCCAAAACACCAACACAGATTTGTTTTGGATCATCTCAGGTGCCGCTGGGGTGCAGTTCAAGTCATGGTTTCAAAACCCATCCCAGCACTGAAAGGCCACAAAAGGGAAACTGGAGCTAATGCAGAAGTGCTCTGGAGCCTTTGCTCTTCTCCTGCACTGCTTGCTCTTTGGGATCATTTTTGATTTGGGTTAAGGAATGATGCTATGCCATACAGTACACAGCTTCTCATGAAGGGTTTATTTATTTTACCCAGAAATCAGCTGTCTCTTAATGGACTTGCTTTAAAATTAAAAATTGTTATTAATAGTAAGAGGTGGACCCAAGCTGGGGACACAAACTTGCCCCAATTTTGGAATTGAAGTCTGAGTCCTACTCTGAAAAATGCCAGCAGGGTCTGCTCCAGCTGTGCTGTGTACAGTGTGCTGACACCTCATGGCCAAGCAAGTAATTCAGATAAGACACCATTTCCCAGGATATATATATACACACATAAATTCTCCATCTGCTGTAAGGCAAGAAACAAGGTTCATTTATCAAGAAGTTTCTAATGAATAGATCTGAATATACCAAAAATAGGAAAGAAAAGCAGTCCAGAAGTGCTTCAAATCCTTGAATGAAAAGCAGATGGATACACCGGGGGTCTGTTATTTGTAGCTGTCATAGTCTGATCTTCCTTGATGCTGAAGGATGGCTCTAATGCACTTCTTCAACAGCATGGTCCATATACTGAACCCTACGTGGCGAACCTTGTGATCTCAGGCCTGGCCATGTCTGGGCTGCTTGTTATCCAGCTCTCCCCTCTTCCGTGGGGTTCTCCCAAGGGCAGATCACCTCCTTCACAGAGTCCTTATGAGCTCGGTGGCAGTTGTCCTCTCCCTCCTCAGAGTCTATGGGATAGATTTGGCTCTCTAAAGGAGCATCCATTTTTATTTGGAAGAAGCTGTGTTGTGAAATAAAAACTCATCATGCACACAGCACTTTTTGATGTGCTCTCCGAGACAGCGAACACGCAGCACGGAGTCTGGCTTTGAGTTTTCCACTGTTCAAACCCCAAATCCCAAAGCAAAACTCAGTGGCACAAGCCTGCAGAGATGGAAAATGAAGGAAATGTGCACTCCTACCCCTTTGAAGCAAAACTGCTGTGTGATACAGCTCCGGCACAGCCAGAGCACAGAGCCAGGTGGAGAAGGAGCCCTCAGACTTCTGCTCTTGAATTTATAATGCAGATTCATCCGCTTGGTCAGCAGCAGAGGTGGATTAAAAGAGGTTGGGATTAAAAGAGGTTGAGGACATGTTACTCTTAGCGAGGGACATGGCCAGGATTTGGTTTCAACAGTGACATCCTCTCTAGGCAAAAATTCCCCAATCTTAAATATCCTGCTCCAGAATGACAAATGTTTCATGACTCTCCCTCAAGCTTTCTCCTCCTTTGTTACTTCTGGGTCTCTTCCGACTTTCAAATCATAAAACCAAACTTGAACTAACACTTGAGAACAAACACAAATATACAAGCAGTTTTCCAAATTCAGGGATCAAAAGTAAAACCTGGGGGCTTTATACCACGAACAGGAGGAGTAAGCACAGCAGAGAGGAATGGCCAGCATGGCCTCTTGACTATTTCTTGTCACAAAACACATCCAATACAGAAAACAAGTGCAAAGAGCCAAGAGGAAGAGACACTTTTAGAGGTCTGACCATGATTTGGGGCAGGTAGCACAAGTAGATGGATTTTAGATGCAATTGTAGGAAAGGCAACCATCAGCTCGGCTTGCAGCGTTGCCCAGCCTTGCAGGGAGGATTCTCAGGGATGTACGGGGGTCCCTCCCCCAGTGCACCTGAATGTCTCACTGGTTTTGCTGGTGCAAAGGCCTTAAGCTTGTCAGCGAAGCCACCAAATAGCCAAATTGGGTAAACAGCTTTTGCTGAGATACATAGGCCCCGTGGCCCGTGAAGCCATTTGATGTGGGGGCAAACGCAAACGTCTCTTCGCGCTGAGCCGGGGCTCTCTCGTGCAAAGGGGCCGCCGCCTCCCCCGGCCTGCTCCAGCGTGTGGGGGCTCGGGGACACGGGGTGACATGGCTGGCAGGGGGACAGGCAGTGCAGGTGCCCCGTGTCCCCAAGGGGGGAGGAGAGGCCACGTCCCCGGCTGCACCACGCTGTACCCTGCGGCTCCCCGGGGCCAGCGGGAAGGTGCCGCACCTCCATTTTCCCGCCCAACGCCAGGGAGGAGCAGAGGCAGTGCCCGCTCCCGGCAGCCGCCGTCACACGCAGCCCCGCAGCAGGCAGACACGGCGGGGAGATGGCGACAGCTGCCCGGAACGTGAAGCACGACGCCCGCTTTACTGGGCTCGGCTGATGGGGTTTCAACCTCCGGCCGATCACCAACAGAAACGGCCGCGGAGGCGAGCCCTTCATGAGGGCATCAGGGTGCCTGCGGGTGCGCTTACCTGCTCGCCGCCTTGGCGTCCGGCCGGAGCCACCGGTCCCCCCCTCAAACAGCGGCTGCACCTTTCTGTGGGGGGCAGCGAGGCGCTTGGGCGAGAGCGTGGCGAAGGCGGGCGAGGTCCGGCAGCCCCTCTTCAGGGCGGCCGCCCGGGACCTCCCGCTGCTGGAGGGGAAGGGGCCCAGGCCGGCGCCCTCGGGCTCCCGCTCCCCCTCAGCACCCGCGGTGCTGTTTAGGGCCACGCTGGTGGGCGAGGGGCAGGCGGTGCTGCCAGTGCCAGCACAGACAACCAGGTGAAGGGCCTGGGAGCCATGACGGCATGGCTGTGGGGAGGAAAAGGAGAGAGGCTCGGTCAGGCCCGGGGCGGGGTGGCACAGCAGTGGCTTCAACGGGAGGAGAAGCATTCTTCTTTGGAGGAGAAGGGCTGGCGGTGCTGCCAGGAGGGACGGGGCTCAGCTGGGAGGCAGCTGACAGCCACCCAGCCGAGCCGGGAATGGTGCCCCCCCTCTCCCACGGCTCTGTCCCCTTGCCTGCCCTCCCACAGCGGGAGAGCGGAGGTGTCGCAATTTGCCCATGGAAAGCAACGGGGTCACTGCTACCAGCCTCAGCGGGTGCTGACAGATCCGGCCCCACGCCCGCCGCGATGCTGTAGGAGACACCAGCTTGTCTCATTCCTTACAACGATTATCTCCAGGCACGGAGGAGTCTGTTATCCCGAGAATGTGATCTTGGTTATGAACGGCCTAACCATGTCACACCCAAAGCACCAATGTGCTGGCTGCTGTGACGGCCAAGAAATGGGAGACTGAGCTCCAAACCCTGATGACTGGTAATACAAGAAGCCACTTCTTGTGCTGAAGCCCCCAGTGTCCCTGGCTGGTGCTGTGAAGTCTCCAGCTCAGCTAATTTAGCCCTCAGGACAAGACCGAGTACAGATTCATCAGCAGAGGACATGCCGCATGCTGGGGTCCACCCCCCCGTTTCCCAAGGACTCACTCCCAGCAGACATGAAATGCAGCTCAAGTGTCCAAAGAGAAGGGCTGAGAGCAGAGGCACATACAGAAAATGCATGCATGCATGGCAGAGAGATGACACAGTGAAGGATGAGCACACTGAGACAAGACAGAGAAGGATGAACTCAGTTCTTTTTTAATTTTCTACATTCATTTTTATTAGACAGATGAATGCATGGAAGTGATGGCCAAGAAATGAAACAACATATGGCTCTGATTTCCAATGGAAACAATTTTTTGGCTGGCACAAAGTGAAGTTCAGTTTGTACTGTGGTCACACTTTGTACCAGGCGACCTTCCTCTTCAGGGACTGAACAGCAAAGAACTGAGGAGCAGTAGACTGGGTCATGCCAGCTTATTCTGCCTATAAGCAGAACGGAGCCAGCTTCTGCCTGCAAGTGTAGGACTGGTGTATAACAAGCACAGTGACTCCAGAGCACACAGCATTAACCCATGTCAGGGGGACAGCGATGCAAAGCTGAGATGATGAAAAATCAGAGAAAGGAATGGATAGAGAGAACATAAAAAGCAAAGCTGCAGAGAAAATAGAAGTAGAATCAGAGGGACTGACTGGAACACACAGATTTGTTATTTATTATTTATACCCTGACTTGATCTTTCACATGTTACTACATACTGGCAATCCCAACATGCTCAGTGCTCCATGTTCTACAAACTCTGAATAGACTGTAGAGCTCATCACATCCAAGTAGCTTTGGACCAACCCTGACAAGTTCTTGAGTGTCTTTCAGTGCTCTTATGTCAAGGTAGGTTGATGGTGCTCAGTACCTGATGTTAAAAAACCTTGTGGTTTTAAGCAGAATTAAAAAAAAATACGGTCTGAGCCTGCTCACCCTTACAGCATTGCAAAATTTGCCATTGCTTCCACTGGGAATAAGAGCAGAGACTTAGCAAGCAGACCTTGACATCAGAGCAAAAGACTCACGCAACTTGGTTTCAATTCCTCTAAGAAGGTTTATCACCATTAGGTTAGCGGAGGTCATGAAAATCTCCCTAGCTCAGCTGCTAAGCGAAGGAGACTAGTTCTGCAGTGATATCAGATCAGACCACGTAGCCCTGATTCTGCCTCTGATAACACACACAGGGAGGGCAAGAATCGCTGTTCAAAGCTGTTGGGGACACAGCTACCGCCCGACTATCTCCCTGTTTGCAAGGCGTTGCTTTGCAGGCACCCTGGTACCTGAGGGCGCCCACTCACATCCAGCTTTTTCCATCTCCCATTTCCTGTAAAATCATACCAGTAGAAAAACCAGATGAACAATATGAATCAGAGTGAAGAATCTTCCAGGACCTCAGCACTTCCCACCTCGTCCCTCTGCTTCCCTTCAATTTTAATACAAAATCTTTTCTCCTCCCCCAATTGCCTTTACGAGGCTTTGCAGGAATCTTCCCACTTCTGGTAATTATCGGCCTGGTCCAGACATGTCGGGGTTTCCCAGCAAAGCCTGGAATCTCCCTGAGCTCTTTAGCACTAACATAGTATTTTACGTTGCCTCATTCTGAAGAGCAAAAGAGACAGAGCAAGTGAAAAAAAAAAAAAAATCCACACCACTACTTAAAGTTGAAATCAGCTCTTAACACCTCTACCCTGGTTCTTCGTTGCCTGTGGGCTACAAGCCAGTGACAACCGGAACTACCTCCTGTTAGGTTTTTTTAACAACAGAAAATAGAAGAGCAGGAAAAAGACAAGAGGTAGGAAGGATTTGATAAAAGAAACCTAAAGCTGCAGCTGCATCTCTTGAGCCCTCCTGCAGGCTTTTGCGAGAGACGGCTCTCTTTACCTGCACACCCAGCACATCGTGTGGGGGAGTCACAGGGGAGAGCAGAGCTTTCTGCTGAGCATCTCCAACGTGCCAGGGGAACTGGAGGTGCCATTAAAATTCAAAGGGTCAACTAAACCTTCAGGAACACTCATCCTACCATCCTCACAAGAAATCTACCCTGCTCTTCTGCCTGTGGCTCTGCTGCCCTGGCTAGGAGGCGCAGGATGGTTGAAGTGAGGGGTGCACTCCCCTCAGGGGGTGCCCAGGACGCATCCCCTGGGAGGGTGCACATCCCCCCCCGAGAGGATGAACCTGCTCCCTGCGGGGTCATCCACCTCTGCTCCAAGGAAGGCTGATTTGAACCCAAAGGATTTGGATGGCAGAGCTTTCCTCTGCCTCGTGCCATCCCACCTCCTGGAAGAGCAGGAGCCAGGGAGAAGCGGCCGGCCTGCCCAACCTCCGGGCCGGGGCGGTGGGGGTGCTCGGGGCAGCCAAAAGGCACCTCCCTGCCAACGTGTGTGGGGAGGGAGCCAGGGCCCTGCACCCCGAGTCCAGCACAGCCAGCGGCCTGGCTCTGCCAGCATTCCCATGCCTGACATGCCTGGGAAGTGACATCTGCTGCTCCAGGAGCCATGGCAACGTGCAGGAAGCGGGCTGCTGGCAGAGCCGGCCTGGGAAACCTAAAGCAGCACTGACACCTTCAGGAAGGGGAGACGAAGCTCAACACCAGCCTCGGCTTGTCTTTTCCCTGCTCTGCGACCTGGTGGGCTCAGAGCCTATTTGGGAGGTTCCTTCTTGAGCTGGCTCCTGCGATCCAGCTTGCTCATGACCTGCGTGATGTCCACGGTCGCGGCAGCTTCTCTGGCTTTGGCCTCTTCCTCCTGCTGCCTCAGGATGATGGGGCTGGGGCTGGAGCGGAGCTGACGGCGTCCAAACAGAAAAGTGGAACTGGGCAGAGTGAGGGAAAGAAGCAGTGTGTTACTGAAAAGTAGAAAGGCACCAAAAACTCACCCATGGTAAGCAAAATTCCCAGGAGGGAAAGCTCTGACACAGAGACAGACACGGCACTGTCACCCACGCAACAAGAAGGAAGCACAACTGCAGACGAGGTGGTTTAAAGCAGGACTCGGTGACTCAGTGTCACACATCAGCTACAGAACTGCTAGAAGTGTACAGTCAGCCTTGTTCCTGGTCCTCATGAGGGACCCCAGGGCCAGGAGACAGCCAGTACATTACTCCTTTTCTTGTAAGCATTTGCACATAACTAACGCTCCGTGTGAACCCAAACAACTGCCATCAGTGGAATTTTTTCTAGTGTCCTTAGTAAGATTGAGATAGGGACCGGTATGGGTGTTTCTAGTGTCTGTGATACACCCAAAAAACACCCACTACCTGCTTCAGCAAAGCCAGTACCAGCAGCAGTGGAAGCAAGTGTTAAACCACCTCTGGATGAGGTATTAGCTCTTTAGTTTAACCAGGATGCTGAGTATTGTGTCTCCAGAACAGGCACTGACAAACACGAAGGTAATCACCAGGGGTCAACCAGCATCTGCCAGTGACCTTGTGATGTGTAGCTCAGGGAAAAACTAACCAAACCCTAAACAAGTCAGCAGGAGGGTTTTTTCCACTGACTTGAAATGGGCTTTAGATGAAACAATAGTGTGAAAGTCCATGATTCCTCTTTCTGGCTTGCTAGGTTGATGAGTGGAAGAGGAACAGAGAAAGCACACCACCCAGTCTGGCTCTGATGCTGCACGCTCAGCTTTGAGAAGCAACTGCAGTTCAAATGGCCTAAATTTGCTACACAACCTTTATTTTGGTTGGGAAAAAGCCATTTCAAGCCTCCCTCTTCTAAGGCCGTTAACCTTGAACCAGCAGTCACGTGCAGGTAAGATGCTGTTTGTTCCCACGTGGCTGCCTGTCACCTTCACTTGGCAGGGAGTAGTAAGTGGCTTTGTCCAGGCAGAGCTGAGCTGAGCCCATGGAGGACCCTGTGGTGGCTCTGTGTCTCCTCTGGCAGCCAATGTTTCCTGGGCGGGAGTTTTCCCAGGCCCAGTACACTGTGCTCTTTCCTTCCAGGAAAGGAGCCGTGATCAATCCAACAATCACAGCCTTTCTAAACAGACCCAACAGACAGGGCAGCCGAGCAATCACCAAGTCAATTCTGACTGCACACAAGGCATTTCCAAAAGGCTCACAAATAAAGAGCATAATCAGCCTCAAAGCAAAGCATCTTTTTAGTGAAAAATTTTATTTAATTAAGTGAACATCTAAATCATAGTAATTTTGCTGCAACTCAGGCTTTTTCTACCCTTGCTACAACAAGAAAAACAAACCCCACAATTACAACCAGTTTCACTTGCCTTTTTTTGACAGTCTCTTGTGGCACAACAGCCTTGGCCAGCATTTCCTTGTATACTGGAGACTTTAAATAGCGGCCATAGGAGTCCTACTAGGAGGAAAAAAGAGAAACTGGTAGTTACGGGCTGCAAACACCCTTATTAAAACCACCACCAAGTAGGGCTGCTCAGGAGCCACAGAGGCTGGGAACTAGATAATCTCCCCCAGCAGCCCAAGAGATTTTGCCTCTTTCAGGCAAATGTAGCTATCTAAACCAATAAATAGCCTTTCATCTTGGTGTAAAATTCCCAGGATTTTCCATCTCACAGTCAAGCCTCCCAGGTAAGATCCAAACCAAAAGGCCTGAGCTGCACTTAGCCCAGGCCAGTGGTGTCTCAGTCATTGCAGGGTGAAGTGCTCATGTTTCAGGAGCTGAACTTTTTCAACAGCTGTTGAAAATCAGTATAGTTCTGCTGCTTTCAGTGTCAATGTGCATTAGCTGGTGGTCTGGCCCACAATGCTCCTTCCTGATAAGTATTTTGTATCACTCATAAGGAGGAAATTACGGGTTATTTGTGGTCAACATGATCTAATAAAAGCCATGGCATATTGTATGCTGACATCAGCCCACAGTCAGCTGCATCGGTCAAACCTAAAAAAGGGCGTCCATCAACGTAATGCAGAAAAACGTGTGAAAAGTCAGTCAAATTTGAGATGGGCCATGTCTGGTTATGCTCTTGGTACACCACTCATGTAGTTATATCACCATTACTACTACCTTTCCCATCCACTGCTGAAATGCAGCTGGATACAAGCATCCCATCACAGGGATACCTGATGTGGCACACAAAGGGGTACTGAGTGAAATTAAAAGACTTCTTCAAGCCTTGAGTGAGCTGGTGACCAAGCTGGTATTAGAAAGCAGGACTTCCAGCAGACAACTGACCTCCTCCACCCTGGGGACAAGATGCCTTTGAGGGGAGAAGAAGCAGCAAAACACAAAGGCCTGAACCCCGTGCTTGCTTAAGTGAGCAAATTTGAGGGATTTTCAGACAGAGGCCATTCAAAAGTGACAGCTGATAGGAAACAAAGGCATGGAAAGGCCCAAAGAACTGGAATCCTCCAAAGACTTTGAAAACAAGTAACAAACCTTTTTCATCAGCATGTAAATGTGGGTCTGGGCAGCATCTAAAACGTAACGATGGGGGTGCTTGAGGCCTTTGACCGTGATGCCCATTGTTGTGCCGTCAATGTTAATCCAGCGCCTTGCTCCTGGAGCCAGAAAGAGTCTGCAAGGAGGAGGAATCAACAGTGCCATTAACAACTGGAGAATTCCTGGAGATTCCTCTGTCTGCGCATGAAAGGGAAAGTCTCTTCAGCTCCCCACTACAATTTGCTGTTCTGATCTTGGCCAGTCAATCTCCTCTTCAACAGTATGACATTCAGTCACTTCCTCTCGCACTGATAACATGCATTATAAACCAAATTTTAGCTTCTTGGAAGTCAAAAGGGTCTCTCCACTCTCCTTGTAGCAGCCTCAAGATCTTTGCTATTCCACACCACTATTTAAATTACATGTTAAAACCAAAATGTAATAGTGGAGAACAGAGAGGAAAAATAACTATATAACAAAACAATACTTATGCTTTCATCTTCAGAAGCTCCTTTCCTACATGGGGACATAGGACAGCCACATTGGATGACAGCTTACAAAGAAAAGTCTCAGGAAAAAATAATTTTGAGAATGACAATGTGTGGAAGAAGGTGATGGGACTCATCTACAAAGAGTTTAAGAAGGTAAAATTATCACACTCACTCATAAATTTCTTCTGCTTTTTCTTTGACCTTGGATTGGTCTCCATACTTGAGATCTTCACAGGCTTCCCAGAAACTCAGATTCTCTCCTGCATAAAAAAGATGCAGTCAGCAGAGAGCAAGACTGAGGAAAACACAATTGCATTTATTAACTCCTAAACTGAATTTGTTTGACTCAATACGTCTTGGCCCCAATTCAGTCTCTCCAATTCTTACAGTCCCCTTGAAAATTCCTTGGAGACCAAAGGAGAAAAACAGCTTTCCCCTGCTCTCTGCTCACTGACACCTGTAAGAGCCTGTGAATTCAGCCCATTCCAGCTTGCCCGGGAGCGATCCCCCCGCACAGGGAGTGCCCTGGGCTGTGTTTTGTGTCCTGTGCCACTAGATGGTATTGCACACACTGGCTGCACAGCCGTTGCCTCTAGAGTCACTTCCACCACCTTTATTTTGTGACTTTGTCATCGTCTCAGCCCACAGCACCTGCTGCAAAGGCATGGGCTGCCATCGCTGCTCTGGCTCAGGCGGGCAGCATCCTGCTGCCTGACCTAGGCAGGGACAAAGAGAGACACCGCAGACCCACCGCTGAACTCCTTCCGCAGGAAGAGCTGGAAGTTCTGCCGACCTTTCGGGTCCCGGATCAGCTCATTGAAATTGAAGGCCCATCTCTCTACACGCATTCTGGTGGGGACTTCCACTCTGCACAGGATGAAAACAAACAGCACGGCCAGTTTGACGCGGCCCATCTAATTGGCAGATTAATTAAAACCAAAATGCCCTTTGCTGGAATGCCAAGAGACTTCTCAGCACTCTCCGTTTTCCAGAATGCTGTAATGAGCTCCTAAAGTCAACACACTAAGTAAGCCGTAATTAAACAACTTGGTACACAGTGGGATGAGGATTTATCTCGGATTTATACTGCTCTCACAATGATGGCCCAGCTTTGCTGGAGGCTTGACTCAGTCCCATTCTGCAAGAGGCACTGGTTGTTGCCCAAAGCTTTGCTTCTTACAAAGGCATTATGCAAAGGGAACCTTTGGGGCTATCTAATGGGATATTATCACTCTAACAGCATTGCTGGTCTCAAATAAGAACCAGTAATATGTTGTACACTTCAAGCCCAGACAGAGATGCTGCTGTACAATTAGCAAATACTATCTGAATGGAAAACCAAGGGAAATCTCAGAGAAGAAACGGACTACCAGTTTGTGCCTTCAACCCAAACTCTCTCCTAAGAAAGCAGCCTGCAGTGTGTGCTAAGAACAAGGGTCAGTAGTTGAACCCTGAATTGCTATGCTGTTGACAGCACCTAATTTAGCCAGGTTAACGCTAAACCAAGTGCTATATCTGAGCATAACTGGTCATATTCCATTCCTGTGCTAGTAAAAGTGGACTTCACTCATCAAGGGAAGGATTAGGCCCATTCAGGAGGGGCTGAGTGCACACTCCCATCATCAGTTTAGGAATTTCCATAATGTTAAGGAAGGGTCCACTTGAAGATTATGCTGGAAGTTCAGCATGGAGTATTCCCAAGAGACAGTTTCTTTAGCATGACCAAGCTGCAAAAAGGGAAGGCGTCCCTGCTCATGATCAGAGATCAGATATCATGACAAAATCAATGGTGCCCTTTTCTGATTTCTATCAGCATAAAGGTCTGTGTAAACCACAAGCTGGTAAGAAACTATAAATACATACAGTTTTGCATTGAGATCCCAGAACTCAGGGTCATCTGTTATCCAGGGGTTGCTGGGGAGACATCCAGACAGGATAGGATCATTGGAGAGGAACTGCTCTGAGTACTTCACAAGCCTGCAAGTAAACCCAACAAAATAAAAATATTAATTTGCAGGCAGAACTGTAGCCATCCCCATTACAATCAAATAAATGGTTGCATAGACTATAGATATCTTCAGAGGTGCAGCCCTACCAGCATGGGGATCTGGAATGTGGCCCCTGCTTTACTAAAAAAATTGATTTATTAGCTCAGTTAATCTTTTCCATTTCCTAAACGGTAATCTCCTGGTTGTCTTTCAAAGCAGTGATTTTGCCAGCTTGAGTGCTGGGAGATACAAGACTCTCTTCCATCACCTCCTTTTGCTTCTTCATTTCAAGGAAGTGGGACTAAGCCCCCAAATGGCTTCTGTCTCCTTCCCCAGCCAACTGGCCAAGGCCTGATCCTGCACCGTCCTGTGCCACACATTACAGAGAGGAAAGCACCAGAGAAGAGGAAAGCAGCATGGGTTCTCCACGGCCTGCCCATGGGGTGTGGGAGAGCCCAGGGAGCTCCGGGAGAGGTGAGGGAGTGCTGAGGGCACATCGTGGCTTCTCCTTTCCTCCGCTCACCTACCACACGGCTCATTCCTCTGCAAACGACTGAGGGCTTGGCACAAAGCAAAAATGTCTGGTTCCTGCTAGAATAGAGACAAACACTTCTACCTTCTAAGTTGGCCAGACTTGTAATTACAACCGATTTCACTAATGCCCTGGAATTTTAGCTTTCTCCTCCCTTTTTCATTCTTGAAAAAATCATCTGGTTTCTGCATTTAAAATTCCTTCCAGGCCAAACTGCTTTCATGTGCTCAAAGCTGGGAGTGCAGTGTCCAAAGGCCCGTTGCTAACAGGCACCTTGGCATAGGTCCTGCAATTGTACAATGCTACTGCACAAACCATACCACAGCTTTGGCACAGAAGTGCTCGATCCTATCTTCTCACTGGAAATGCCAAGGCATTCCAGCACCTGCATAATTCACTCCAATCTATATATTTTAATCAAGCTACAAATCTTAGCCTGTCAATTCAGGTAACATTGCTCTGTCCTTTTAATGATTAGCGCTTTGCAGCTCCTCCTAAATCAATGCAATGCTCTGATGCATGCACACTAACTAGTTGCTGCTCATACCCTCATCAATAATAATTTGATTTGGACCCAATTCTGCAGTTGAGATGGAGATCCAAATTTCCTGAGGATTTTTTGATCTAGGTGATAGGCATTATTCCATCAGACTACTAGAACTAATTAGTGAAAAGCTCCATTGCCAAACAGTTAAGCAACACAAAATTCCTGGAAGGTATCCAGGTGTCCCCAACTCCAACTCACAGTTCAGAAAATTGAGGCAGGGGAGTTTTAAGTGACCTGGGAGTCAGTGACAGATGAAGTGAGCAGAACTGCTGGTGCCTTGCAAGTTATGGTTCTCAGAAGTCAGCACTGCTTCCCAGACTCTTCCTCCTATTTCATTCATCCATGACTGTCTTTTCCCAGGGAGCAGGCCTGAGCACCTTGTTTATCTTAGATTCGATATGGATCTCTGGGTGGCAATGACTATGTAAAACAGACTGGTGGAACGGACTGCACCTCTAGGCAGCTGGCCAGCACATAAGATTCCAGGTAAGAAACGCCTGTGGCAAACACACTAATGGCTAATGCTAGGACTGGGGGCTTTGCACTTAATTGGCCTCATTAAGAATCTGATCAGGAAACACTCCCACTGAGAAGTGGAATTGCTAATTAATTGCTTGGACGTTCATGGAGAGGTATGTGTTCCTTCATAATACAGAATAACCAGAGACTTCCCCAGCTCTGCTGCCTTCTGGTGAGCATCACCATATGAGTGAGAACCACCACTGGGGCTGGAGCCAGCCCAGCAGGCTGGGGACCACGGACAGGAGGGTCTGTCTGTCTCCGCTGGTTACTCGTCCTGCACAGGAACAGGTACAGGATGGACACACTGCTGCACCCTTGCACAGCAGTCTCCACGCCGCTGCTTTTCCAGAGCTATGCTGGGTCCCAAGTGCTGCGACCCAGCCCTGACCAGTCTGAACATCTCTTGATTTCTGAGGGAATCTGAACTGAGAGGCTGGCACTGCTCCGCAGACATTGAAAGCAAAGCCCTCCTTAGCTCCAAGGAACCCTCTTCATCGTGTCAGGGACTCTGATCCCTCCACTGCCTTGTGCCTCCTGGCTCAGGCAACACAGAGCCCAGACAGCACAAACACTGCGTGTGGCCCCCACATCAATTCCCCTGACTGACTCACCAGCTTCCAGAACAGACAGCTTCATCATCTCATTAGGAGATAAGCGCTGAAGACTAATTAATGTGTGGACAGAAGGAAATCAGGACTTACCCTTCGAGAGAGACAGAAGATTTCACTCTGGTCTTCATGATGGCCTGCTGATAGTACATGATCTGAGAGGGATCAGACATGTCCATGGTTAGGAGCGTGAAGATGTGTAGACAAGGCTGTCTCTATCTGAACCTCAAACATGCCCTCTGTCAGGTAGTGAGGCTAACTACAACTGGGACTGCTTCTTCCATAATTATTGGATGTCCAAGGAGTCAGAGAATTCCTAAACTGTCTTAGTAAAATGGCTGTTTTCACTGAGATTATTGCAAATGTCAGAAGAGCACTGTGCAACGTGTACATAATTTAAAATCACTCCCCATGCTATGTAAAAATTGTCTAATAGCCACCATTCTAGGCACCTACAAATGCTCTGGATGATTTAGCATGTAATTATCATTGATTCTTGGCTGTCTCTACCCTGGCGCCACTGGATGTATCTCCTATGATTTCCCCACCACTAATTTTGATCTACCGGGTTTTAGCCCTGGTGTCTGTCCTTGCTTGAGCCTTACCAGCTCTGGGAGAGGTGCTGGCTGCCTGCAGTGGGAGGTGCAGAGGCAGGAAATGTCCTGAAAGCACACTGACCAAAAGCTCCATGGGGCAGAGCCTCTGCCAGCCAAACCCAGGCGTTTTTAAAACTGCTCATCCCCCACAAAGGGGACTTTGAGCCCCCAGGCAACACTAATGTAAGCAATACATACAGGATGAACACCTAGAATGAGGGAAGGATCACCTACCTCTCTCCTATAAGAAGCCATAGTTTTTTTCTGTAAAATAAAGAAACAAAAACCCATTAAATTGGGGTGGGTGCTTTCACTCACCTTTTTTGAGACATGAAAACACCGTTGCAGGGCCGCCGCTGTGCAGCACTCTCCAATTAATTCTCATTACAATTAAAATCAAACACAGCAGCTCAGCTAATCAGGGTATCATCAAAGCTAAGAGCATCCACACACCGTAAATCATTCCATTAGCTGTATTTACTGTTTAGCATTGCTTCTTCCATCACAGGCTGCCTGTATGCCTTCAATTAAGGGCTTATTCTAATGGAGCTAAAATAGATTCGTTTACGAGACACAGATTAGATCATTCAATATTAGCTAAAGGAGACAGGAACCAACACATTGCAAAATATAAACACCACAATTAAAAGCCTCAGAAGCGGTATCTGCAGCGAAAAGGGTGCTTACGTTGTGATTTGAATAACACAGACTATGTTACATGTCATCCACAAATGAGCAAGCAATTGAAGGCAAGAAATTAACTGCAGGGTGTTTATTCACACAGCTTCCTTTGAAGCACTGTTACTTTGTGTGAAATAAACTTAAGGAGGGAGGAGGACAGACAGGCCAAGTCAGGGATGACCCCAGCAAGCCTTTACAGGCTTATACAGGGTTTCAGTTCTGCACCTCTCATTTTATCCAACAAAAGTCACGCTGCTAAGCTGCAGCCCAGAATTATCCTATCGAACTAACCCTGTGGTAGACAAGGGTCTGCAGAGTGCCCTGGAGAAGTGCAGTTTGTGAAGAACAAGGGATGAAGCATCTGGTACTGACTGCCACAGGCAGCCTGCTCCTCCCAGAAGAACCTGCACCCTGAGCTGCCCCTATTTTGGGGAAGGCAAGATGCACTCCCAGGCCTGCTTTGTGAGGGGACCATCGTGGCGACACCGGTGCAATTCTGGTTTTGCATTTTAACCATCATCACTAGTCCTGCTCAGGAGAGAGAAACTGTTTCTCTATATGGAAGAAAAATATGCATATTTTGCTGAAGCTTGGTTTGTTTTGAGAGGGCACACTCACCATTTCAGCAGGCGGAGACACATATGCAGCAGATCAGACAATCTGTACAGCACTACCATGAAGCCAACCCATCTGATCCTAACACAAACCCAGCCTGGCCAGCGTAGTACTACCAGAAATCCTCCCTGTGGCATTGCAAGGGGAGGAAGCTTCGTCTGCTGAAAATATCATGACCACTTCTGAACGACTGCAGTGTACATAATCTCAGCAGGGACAAACAGGAAAGTAAACAGTAGCTGCACCAGCAGCAATACTCTGCTGGCCCCACACACAGAACTGTGTGCGAGGGGGGGGTAAGGGCTGACACATCAAGGGGGAGAAACAGCTCTTGGATTACAGGACCACTGGTCACAGTGCTGTACAGTCTTCCTTGCTGAGTGAAAGGCTCCTGGGACATCTTGTAAACGACAGGAGGACACATGGACTAAGGAACAGCTTTTCATGCTTCTCTGCTCTTAGCGGCACCCCTGATCCCAGGCCAGCTTCCATATAGATACCATTTCTTTCCCCCATTTCTACAGTGTCATCATTTCAAACAGACTGTAGAAATGGAAGAAAAAAAAAAAAATAATTGCCTTCTTGTGCAGAGAAGTTCACTGCATTTACTGTCCTAGAAGTGTCCTCTTTACAGAACTCTGTTTCTGTTTCAGGCCAGCTATTTCCTGCACAATAGGAGATCACTATCTCCTTGGGGAACCTGAGATACAAAGCAGGCCCCATCAGATTTACAAGTGCCAGCTGAACTGTTCCATTTGATGGAACTGAAGTATGGCTAGGGCATTTACTTTAGGAAAATCAACATGTTAAAATTATCAGATGGTTTTAAAAGGCTGCTCATTTCTTCCTCTGTTTTGTCAAGTGGGTGCCTTGGACAGGTCTGGTGCAGTGTGGCAAGGAGAAGTGGATGCTGCCATAGTGGCTTAAAGGCAGCTCGTGGTAGTAAAGTTGTGTTATCTTCTACAGGGGTCTTAGAGGCGGGCAGCACACCACACACACACGAGACAAACAGCTGGTGGGAAAGAGAAAAAGAACACAGTAAGTTAAATGTTATATAGAGCAAGAAAGGCATGAATTAAAATGCCATCACAACAGAAAAATTATATGTGTGTGACTGAAAATCAAAGCTAATGCCATGTCTGCAAACAAGGAAAGTTTGTTTTTTTTTTTCCTAAGTACATCATACACGAAGGCTCCCCCTCCTGCCACAGCCTGAGCGCGTAGGTCATCCCTCTGGACAGCTGATCCTGGGAAAACCATAAGGGCTTTGGTGGGGTGCTCAGGGTAGGGAGGGGATTTGCCAAGGCTCACACGGAAGAGAGGGGTATGGCATGAGAAGGGCTGAGCACCACTGAGTAGTGGCACACACTGAACTGGGGCGGAATCAAAGAGGAGCCCAGCACTGAACACTCTATTGAGGACTGCAGGTGCTGGCTGTGCTCAGCCCTTTCCAGTTCTCAAACCCACAGTAACTGGGAAGGACCTCAGCTATTTCACCCCAGAGCTGCATATCATTTAATTTCCCTTTCTCCCACAGTGCTCCCATGACCACTTTCCAGCTTTGCTGCTGGTACAAGGGACCTTGAATACTCTCTGTGTCCTACTGAGCACTGCCAGTTGTCCCCACCATCCTATCCATCCCTACCCCCTGCTACTGACAGCAGTAATGCCAAAGTGCCCTGTACCACCCACCCACCCTCCCGCACTTGGAAGGAAATATTTGGAACAAAAGAGTCATTTCTTATAATGAGATTAATTTTGCAATGCCCTCAATGAGTGACTTATCACAATTACTGCGGATAAGCTTCCCAGCCCTGCAGGCTTCAAACCAAAATGGCAATTAGTGAAAGACCTCGGTCTGTCTCAGGCCAGTGCTGTGTGCTGTTAAATATCTCCTCTCCAGGACACACAGCAGCACTTGGTACACCCTGCACAGCCTCATCACACCTTGCTGCCACCAGCTGAGTGCTCCCCGTGTACGCAGGCAGCGGCGGCAAAACTCAGCTGGGAGCCAGCCGGGACCTGCTCAAGAGCCGATCCACATGGCTGAAGCCACGAGCTCCTACAAGACCTGGGACATCTGCTAATTTCCAGCCAGCCATTCGCATGGACCTCCTCTGCTCCCAGTGTGGGTCTTCTGACCACACTGTGGAGATAACGGTCATTATGTTTTCGCCTGTCTGGCCACCATTCAGTGTTCACAGAAGCCATAAACAGCTGGCCAACCGCTTCTGTGTCTGTGCCCAGATGGAGCGTGGAGTGAAGAACAAGCAAAGCCACTGTTATCCAGAGCTCATTTTGGGCCAGGACACTACAAATCATGCCTGCACTGTGCCCTGAATGCTCCCTGTCTGTGTGAGGATGACCGTGGGGATCCTGCACAGAGCACCAGCCGCCGAGCACGGGGCAGTGCCAGCACAGCTTTGAGCTCCAGAGCTCACCTTCCTCCAGCCCGAGCAAAAACCTGTGGGCACGGCCTCTCTGACAGCAATGGCAAAGAGCACTCGGGCACACACAGCTCTGCTTCTGCACACACGAACACCTCTTCTAGGGTGCAGATGTGAGCCTTTCCCTACACGCAGCCAGCTGGGAGCCCAGCACATCAGAGGCAAATTCTGAGTCTAGCATAGAAGCATCTCAACGTGCATCTTCACTGTGCTGGTGCTTCCAGCCCAACATCTGGAAATCAGATCTGTCAGTCCATATGCCTGGTTTAATTCAAATTGCCAGTTTTCCCCTATGTTAATTATTTGCTTCTGACTCTGTTTCAAAAGATGTGATGGATGCAGCACAAGTTATATGTTTATCATGTAGCCAAACTGACAGAGACTTAAGAAAAGAGTGGCCAGAAATGACTACGATGATCTGTGACTGACTTGCTGCATAGTGACCCAGGGCATTTAATTCAGTAGCCCCTGAACCTAGCATGGTGATTTCTGGCTGAGCTAAAGCACCTTTCAGAAAGACTCGGGTTACAGAAGAAGGCAAGAGCTGAGCCTGTACCTGCCGGTGAGTCAGCGGGCTCTGGCAGTTGCCTGGTAACTCTCTAAGCAGTGAGGCACCATCAGGAGCCTGAGACCTGGGTAACGAAAGGCTAAAGCAGCCCTTAATTAGCTGTTCAATGGATGGCTACTTCTGCCTTACTCCTCCCACCCAACTACAACTCCTAATTCATTATAACTGAGAGGGATGACCATGGGTCAGTAATAAAAGTCCCTTTCCAAGGAGTGTGATGTTTGGCTGAGCACCTATTTATCCCCAGAGAACTCTATCAATTAGGGAGGGAGCAGCTCACCAAAGGGTCTGGGGCAAGTGAGAGAGAGACGTTTATGCCAGTATCAGCTTCAAAGAAGTCATTCTGATGTCAGAAATTAATTATCACTAGGATTATTTTCTTGCTCTGCTGTCAAGATAAAAAGATAACTAATTGGCCAACAAAGCGAAGCTAGATTGAGTGGGAACAGAGACATAAACCAAATAAATGGGCACTGGATTCATGCCCTCCTTTTCTGCTCTCATCACTTCACCTATGACAGAGCCAGAGGGTGGGCCCACAGAAAACATCAATAAAATTCCATACTGCCTTCAGCAGGGGTAAGATACGGCCAACAAAGCACAGTCCAGCTCAGCATTTACCAAGAGAGCTTGGGCCATCCTTTCCACTCACCAAAGGCTGCTGAACCACAGGTGTTTGTAAGAGCAGCCCACAGAAATAATAATTAAAAAAAAGCTGCTAGTCCAAATGTGGCTCTATCTGGGCTTTTGGCTGGCTCGTGTATTGTCAGTCGCTTTTTCAAAAGGAAAAAGAAGAGCAAGAAGAACCTTCCCTCTTCAGCTCAGCCCCCAGAGAGGAGGCACAGCTCAGAAACCGGCTTAAAGGAGAAGGGTGGTGAAGTTACCCCAAAGCCGGTGTCCTCTGGCTCAGGCCCTCCCCAGAGCCTCCACTGATGGAGGGAACCAACCATCTCTCTTATGCCCAGGGTGGGAACTGAGCAGAGATCCCTCAGTCCACTCCCTCTGTGCTACCAAGCAGCTGGCAGATGGCTACAGGATTTCAGACCGTTTGCAAACCTAAAATCTCCTTCCATGTCAGCTGTAAAAACGTGGGCGAGAAGTTGGCTTACTCCTCTTTTCCATCCCTCTCCCTTTCCACCACTCCTTTTCTCTCATAAAAAAAATAAAAATTAAAAAAAGCGCCTTTCAGCAGCTGCTACTTACAGCAAGAAAAAATAAAATACACCCCAGCCTTACATTTTGCTCATTTTCAGTCTCTATAGCAACAGAACACAGTTGGCCAAAGCAATTATCCTGCCTCTGGCTGTTGAGATGTTTAAAGGCTGTTACAGAAGTGAGGAGTTGTGGGAATACAGTGAGTGTGATCGCAGTAACATTTGCATGTAATTGCTGAGAGACGCTTTGACTTTACTTCCAAATGAACACTGTCAAGTGCACAAATACAGGATCACTTAAAAGGACTGATGGAGAAAGAGAAGAGCAGCTCCAGCTCCTCACCCACTGACTGAATTTGTCTTATTGTGGACTCTGAACCAGTCCCACCCAGTCATAGCCTCCCAGTCTCAGTTCATTAATTCCATTTGTTTATGGTCTAGCTATACAATGTGCATTTTCAGGCAACATTCTGTGTTTGCTAACCACCACACCAACTTTATCTTCTTGCCACACCTTACACTTTTGGAGGTATTATGTCATTTTATTTTAAACCTGGATCTTTCCTCTGATTCTTTACACCCCACATCTCCACACAGTTCCTTCAGCACTAATAAAAAGGCAGTAATGAGCATCTGGAAATAGAGGATTCCTTAACACAGTTTCACCAGCAAAGAAAACAAGTCCTGTAGCTAAGCACTCACCCTAACTGGTGTGGCAAGAAAGCTGACAAAGTATGTTCAAGCCAAAATAAGCTGCCAAAGCCTATTTTGAGGGCCCCACCCCCCTGGACAATGAGGCAGCTTCAACCTCTGGCCTGTTTGGCTGTCACAGCTGAGCTGACTCGCTCAGCCTGGGGTGCCCAAAAAACGACAATCCCAGGGACATTGTCCGGGTCCTCCCAGACGAATTCAGTAGATGTGAAAAAAAGCCCGTCTCACCTGGTTTACCTTATTTTCATTAGGATCCGTTACGCGGTCTAATCCGTACTCTAGGACATCTAGCATGCCGGGCTGTTATGAGCAAGAAACAGCAATAGCTTTGTAACTCATTTGTTTTGAAGTCTGTCGTTTACACAAACGCATGAGACCCCCGAGCCCCAAAGGGCTCCACTGCCAGTGCCCCAGGGGACCTCTGCCCCCCAAGTCTGGGAATGCTCCCCTCTGAGCATGGGTGCTGCAGCCAGACCTCCCTCCCTTGCACTTTTGAAAGCAACCAAGGAGAAAGGTGGCTGGCCTTGGCTGACCCCTTCCCTGACGAGAAGCGGCAGGGTGCAGGGCCCAGAGGCCACGTCCCACGGCCGTGCCTTTTGTGTGCGGGAGTTTGTCCCCGGCGGCTGCAGGGAGGGCACCACCGAGGCACTAAAGCCACACACCGACATCCTCTACTTACAGGAGTTCGGTTCACAAGCCAGTAGGCTCTCTCCTGGCAGTCCAGGGCGTACCTATCCGCCTTCTTCCGCTCCTTCCCTGCCCTGCAAAGCCAATAACAGGATTTGACTCTACCAGGGGAACTCATGAAATTTGCTCTCCTAAAACCAGCGGGATGAGAAAGGCGGGCACACCTCCAGCCTCCCCCTGCCCCATGGGACCCAGCCTGACGGTGCCATGCTCTGATGCAGCCTCCTGACCTCAGCTTAATTCTGGACTGCAGATCATGCTGTTCACATGGCCACACATGACTCTAGCTTTTGAGAAATCATCGTCTTCCTGAGCTCAGCTTGGGGCAGACATATCTTCTTTTGATTAGATGGACAGTCGTTTGGTAGTTTTATGCTAACAACCCGCCACTTGCAGTCAGTCCTGCTGCCTCATATTTATCTGTCTCCGATGTCCCCGGGCAGTATCTGAGAACTGCCACACAGAGATACATCCCGGACACATCTCATCCCTGTCTTGCAGTAAAAGAAGGCATTCCTCATAGAAATTATTTGCAAATGGTACCAAGCAGTGTTCCCAGGCACTAAACCCCAAATCACCTCTACTATTAAACAGAAGAGGCACTTGCATGGTTTGGGCTTGGACGAGCTAATTCTTTCCCAGACAAGTCCTCGGCACAATTTGGGACTTAGCATGGGCAAGGGAGCATTCCCAAAAGACTGTTTGCATGTGGCCACCCTGCTGTGGTTAACAGGATGGATGCGAGCTATTCTGCACCAGTCTGCCCCAGCAGCATCATCAAACAGCCTCAGACGTGTTTAATCTACTAGTTCAGACACAGTCTCAGTATCTAACTTTAAAACTGCATTTGGCATCTCCTAGCCCAAGTCTGACCTCAATTTACAAGAACAACAGTCTCGTGTTTAATGAGACAGTTATCTGATGAGCTGTATTCTGACGACTTGGCTACCATCCCAGTGCAGACAGAAACGCTGCTGAACAGCAGAGGCAGTGCCTGCCATGCTGGGAGGTAAAAAAGCTAAAAGGAATCCACAGAAGTAGGAAAGATCCTATCTCCAAAAGAGTAATCCCATCTCACGTTCACTAATTTTCCTGGGAATTTGAAGGATTCAGCTCCTAAAATCAAGCCATTTTGGCTGAGTGCCTAAGTATGCACTTCAGAGTTTTCTCCACAAGTCCCTGCTGGGAACACTAACTGCTTCTTGATTCAGGCCATTCAGTTCAGCTGTGAGACATGTGCAAACAATAACTGAACCAGACCAGTAAGAGGTCCTAAGCCTAGTGTCCGTATCCACAAATGTTCACGGACAACCCAAAGCTAAAAGAAGCTGTCTCTAATAAGGCCTTGCACACTCCAGCATCAGACCCGGGCTTCTTCAGGGAGTCCCATCAGGTGCAAAATCTCAATCTCCCCCTTGCACACTTATGCATGTGCAAAAACCATTTGCAAAGAAGCTTGCACATGTGTCAGCAGGAAAGGCACCCACCCCCGCCTGTGCTCTCACAAACCACACTGATTCTGCATCTTTGGTGGACAAATGCAAGGCGGGGAGAGGAACGCAGGTGCAGCGGGCGAGGGGGAGGCTTTGCAAGCGGGCGTCCAGTCATTTGAAAACGCCTAAAGTCCTTCACTTGCAAAGTGTGAAGCAAACAGTTTCCTTGTTAAACGGAGGAACCCCAAGTTGATAGGAAAGGCAGTTTCACAATGTAGAGGGGCACATGCAAGTTATTTTAAAGCTGCAGTTTATGTTTTTAAACTGTAATTTAACTGTGTACTGAAACAGTGAAGCTCTGCCTCTTCATACCCTCCCCGATGATGCAGCAAATAAGGGAACACAAATCAACTCACTTATACTGCTCTTTGGCCTGCATAATAACAAAATCCCACTTGTAGTTTATTTTTTGATTGAGCATGTTGTAATGTTCCTGGAATAAAAATAAAAAAGCAGTTAGTGTGAAAATTCTGGACAAGGCGCTCCCATGCTAGGGTTTTCTTGACTCTCAACTAGTCCAGGTTGGCAACCGAGCCAAGAAATCTGGATTGTTCTGAACGTAATTACATGAATTGCAACAGTTCAAAAATACCACCGCGAGGAGAGCAATTATCCCTGCTAAAATTACTACTGACTTCAGAGTATTTTCCTGTACTGGCCACCTTTTCCCTTCCAGACGTTTGGCTTTTTGACACCTCATGCAACTGAAGAGGTGATTTTTTTGCCACACTCCATTCATTAGCAACAGAAGGATAAAGCTATAGCAAACAAGGGGCTTGCAGTGGAATAAGTACAACATCTCCTTACCTTTTCATATTCTTCTAAAATCCCTTTCCTCTTAATGTTCTTCTTTGCTAGGTAAATTGCTGTGGAAGGAGAAGCAAATAAGCAGTCAGTTATACTTAGACCAACAAATCCAAGATTAATTAAAAATTTACCCACATGACCAACACAGGAATCTGTCTATTACAATATCTTCCCAGGCATGAGATCCAAGCTTACAAAAGCTCACTGAAGAAAAAAAGAACTTGGTGCTTTCACTTTGTCACTGATGCTTCATGAGCCAGTGCCCAGGCTGGGAGCAGCCACGCAGAATGGGTGAGTGTGACGTCTGCCAGCAGCCGCTTCTCCTTTGGGAACTCAGCCAGGGCTTCACGGGCCAAAGGATACTGGGCCAAATCTTTAAGATGTTGAGGTTCTTCAGAGTTTGACCTCCAAGTGTTCCGAACACAGGCCAATGTTTTGCTCCAAGTTCTATTAAAAACATTCCAATCTAAAATGGACTTTTTTTATTTCCCCAGAAGATCTACAGCATAACGTAGATAAGCCACAGAAGAGAATCTTGGTATAAACAAATCAGTCTGTGAACTGCACAGTCCACAGAAGCAAATAAGCTGATCAGCCCAAGTTTCATGACCAAGCCTATAATAAAAGGTATTATAAAGGCAACAAAAGTTTGATATGGAAAGAGCCATCACGAGATATTGGAAGCCACTGTGCATTATATAAAGAAAGAACCATCTCTGAACGCAGGGCTTGATCCATATCTACAGGAAGACAGTCTTGGGCTCAGATCCAGGAATACACTTAACTACTCAGAGAAATCTAACCTTGTGTTTGAAGTCTTTCCTACCCAGCGGAGTATTTCAGATGTGTTCCAGCCTGATGACTGTTGGTGGAACATAAGAGAAGCTTAAGCATTTTCTCTCATCGAAGCCACTGCAAAGTGGTCACATCCAGAGGGTTCCCTCAATTCAGCACTACTGAGAATTATTCACAAAACAGTGTGAAAGAAATTTCAAGGGCTGGTCAGCACACGTGGATGCACAGCACAAAAAGATGAACAGCAAACATGGTGTGTGCACAAACAGAGGGGCCTGCAGCGCACCTCCTAACCACGTACAGTGCTATCACTTACCATAGTCTGTGTCATCAGCGGGCCAGCTCTGTGCGGGCCAGAAATACGGGGTCTGCAGAAAAACAAGCCTTTCGTTAGTGCACAGTGGCCTTGAACTCATGCCAAGAGGCGTGCAGCACCACCCACATCGGAGGGAGAGGAAAGTTCTCTGCTATACTCAGAGCTTCAGCTCCTTCCCTGCATGTCAGCTCGCACGGTGGTGCAGGCCAGCTACGGCAGCAGAACTGAGGTCAGCAGACTGCCAATGTCAAATCCACTCCTGCTCCGCAATCCGTTAAGCTGGCCAACCTCTCACTGCTGCCTAAGCATTCGGACTGAGATGCTGGAGCCTGATTTGGCACCATGTGGGAACCACACTCCTCATTCAAAGTACCAACGAAGGTACCCTCATTTACGGTTGTAGTGGAAACAGTCCAAGAACCTTGATAACATCCCAATATTACTGTGTTTTTTCTACATTCATTATTCAGTCTCCCCAGATCATTCTACTTTCAACCGGATACCATTTGCTACTTTAAGACCTGGAAGGGAACACATATCTGGAAGAAAGCACAGCTACTTTGAAGCTGAACAAGTACACTAATTTAGTTGAAGGAAGTATCACAGCTTCCCTGTAAACTGTAAACTGACACATGGAACTGGGGGAACTGGCCTGAGGCTTCTCTGTGAACGCCTTCCTCCTGCACCCTGAATGACTAGCACGGCTACACAGCATGGCCTCATGATTACAGCTCCCGGGGAACTGTCCCAGCTGCCTGTTTTTAAAACTAGTGCTGAACTCCCTCTCGATGGCTTTACAGAAGATGCAACTCACTTGAAACCTGTACAGGCTGCTGTCTGTCTTAAGGGTGAGGTTCTTTGGCTCCTGAAGAGGATAGATGTATCCATATTTGACAAACAGGTCCCCCAGGTGGAGTGCCTCTGAAAATGGAGAAAGTGGATGTTTTGATTGCACAGAAATACTGCACTGGAATTTAAAAGTGAGCGGCTACTCAGGAGAGAAGAATTCATCTGAGAGGTTTTGTCTATGAAGACAAAGTTTTACAACTTGAAGCTGAAAAAGCCTCAACTTTTACATTTCTACCCACCTTCCTCAGTGATCTGCAAGCGTTGGAGAATCCACTGCAATATAACATTACCTGTAAAGTAAAGAAAATGTCAGGTGCTTGAAATAAGTGTGTACCAAAACCTGTGGGTGAAAATGAGACCTCTCCAGTCTTCACCCCTCACTGTGCTCCATATCCCACCGAGGGCCCAGTCCCCTTCTTGCAAACGTGCTTTCCAATGCACCACACAAGAGAAGCAGAGATGAAATGCACTGCTGGTCTCTCACTGGCCATGCTGTCGTTCAGACTCTCTCCTGAGCAAGCTGACATCAGTCCCTGGGGAAGGGAGCCCTGGGCAGGCAGTGACCTCAGGATGTCACAGCGTGAGGGTGCAGAAGCACACGTGGCTTGAGCCACACTTAAACCCTCATCAATGGCTTAGAAAGGACTTAGGCAACACCAACAGCTTCTATGCCCAGGGAAGGTGAAGTGCCCCTTGTTTTGCACCATCTTATCTTGAAGGATCCACTGATCTCCAGGCTCACAGAGCACAGTCCTGTTTCGGTTTTAGTAAGAGACCAGTGACTGGTCCTCTCGAGTCCTTTAAGAGACACAACTCTCAGTGCAGAAGGGAAGTTTGAGTCTCAGACCCAGATGGCAGTGATAACAGGACATATCAAAGGGAAACAAGGCTTCTGAAGTCATAAACACTTCATCTCTCCCAGTTCTTTTATTGGAGCGTTTCAAGTCATACCCATAGTCAGTATAAACTTCCATCAGTTTTAGTTTTATGTTCTGGGGGCAAATTTCATGAACCTCCTTCTATTTAAGCAGGGCAAAAATGCACTCACTCCCTGATCAATTATTGGTCTTTTCCTCCAAACATCCCCTAGGATTGCAGACTGAGGTGTTGACCTTTCTTGACATTGCAGTGATGACTTAACTTTCTAATAGGGGCTCAGAGCTTTTATCCTACCGCCTGCTTCCTGAAATAGATGAAATTAAGGGATTATCTCATCACTCACTTCTAGACAGCTCTCTCTGTAAGCATTTTCCCCCAAAGGTGTGCATTTAAGATGGAGGTTTATTTGTCTTTTCTGTTGCAAGCCATTTTACCGACACTGAATTTAACTAGTTAGCTTCCTGCATGTGAAGAGCCAAACTCTCTTCAGATGTGTCCACTGCTCTAATGTCTTCACCATTCCCTTACTAAACATGAATCAGTCTCTTTCGCAACACTCAGAAGCCAGTCAGTATATCCACAACTTGCACAGCACTAAAAATACCATAGTTTAGGGAGTGATGACTGCCACACAAGGAGACTAGAACTCACTTTCCTATCAGAAGTTGACTAGAGTTTAGGACTTGGGCAAGAGGGAACTTATAGCAATTCTGGTTAAGGAACCAGAGTAAAGCAGACAGCACGCAAAGAGGATGAGCGTCAATGGGCATCTTCCCTCCACATCATCTAGCCAGGGACTTTTAGGAAGTGGTATTTTACATTGGTCAGACATTGAGAGAAGTACTTGTTCCCCCTGCACTTAATCTAGGTGGCACGTCATCTTCAGTACAGGGGAATCTTTTCTGCAGCGCTGCCTTAGCTGTTCACTACCAGCTAAGGGAGGCAAGGCCAGCTCCTTTGCAGATGCAAAGCACTCCACCAAATTCAGCTGCATAATAGCAATGTAAGCCAGGTTATGGTTTGTGCTGTAATGCATGGAGGGTGTTGCTGAGAACAAGCTTCAGATGTTGTCCAAGTTCTCCTTACCCTTTCACTGACTGACTGTACCCATGAGAAAGTGACTTCATCTCAGTGCCTCTGCTTCCTCATTTAAAAAAAAAGAAAAAAAAATATTGGGGCAAACAACACACAGGGTCTACTGGGCTTTGCAAATGCAGTGGGGAAAAATTAATCTATTTGGCTAAGCTGCCTCCTGAGTTGCCTGGAGCAAGCTCACTGGTTTCAGTGGGAGTTTTTGTTCTGAATTTCAAAGTGCTGCAGAAAGACCAAAGCAGGAAGAGGAAACTTTGGTACAGTATGTGTGAATATTTATAGTGGAGGATTCCTCCCAAGAGCTTTTGTGGAGGCTTGGAGAACAGGGAAGCAGAGGTACTGAGAGTGCCCTGTGAAAGAAGCTTGCAGGCACAAAGGAGACTGCAGTAAGAGCTGTCTGGAATGCCATACGTGACACAGCACAGCGCAGCTCCCCGTCTGTTTCTTCTTCAGCCTGCTTGAAGGAGGAAAAGCTGTCATTTAGAGGCAGAGAAGTGGGTTGAATATTTTGTTCTTTTCCTGCATACTGAAGAAAAATTATTATTAGCAGAAAACATTAAAAGCGAGACTAATTGTTTATTGTTCATTTCTGAAGTACCATCTTTCAGTCTGACTCCAGGCTGCCTATTTTAATCGGATTTTAATATTTATCTTTATTTGCGATCCAGCCTCACTGGGAATATCACAGGTCTGGAGGCTGAAGCAACTACTCACCTCTATGCTAAGAGAAAGCAAGGTCACTTGAGTTAATCTCACATGAGACAGCTAAAAGCGTGTGATAATCAATCTTTGTGTCTCTGATTCAAACAGCTAGACGTGAAATGATACACAAGTGAGAATGAGATAAAAGGAACAGATATGTCTCAAAGGATATACAGCAAATATTTATTGGGAATACGGGATCCATTATGCAGCCAGGCAGTGGTAACTCTGGGGTGGCCATGGAGTCCACGCACAGCTTTTCTCTGATGAACTACCTTGGCCCGGTCCCTTCCCCCAGTGAAGCTCTTACCTGCCACAGCATGTGGGATGTTCGTGACCATCACCCTCTGTGTCTGCGTCTTGATGCCCGTGTCTGGATTCTGCATCTCCATCATAAGCGCTTCGATCTGCAAAGCAAGGCAGGGATGGGATGTGTGACAGGAGTGGGCAGGAGGGAGCCCCGGGACCACCGCAGCCCTGCGCAGCATCCCAGACTGCCAGGCTGTGCAGCGGCGTGCCACGGGAACGGATGCAACAGCCACAGCCCCCTCCGAACCTCCCCTTGCTACTAGAGATGCCACCTCCAAACCATGTCTGCTCTCACACTGACTCACAGTGTCACTCCCTCCTGCAGAAAGCACACACACAGCCAGGGTTAGCAGACAAGGGACAGGATGTAACCACTCCATGGGAGCTGAACTAAAAAAAAAAAAAAAAAAAAGTACTTTTTTTTAAAAATCTCTTCTACCCATAAGTGTTCTTCTCTGGCTTAGTGGCTTATTTGCTAGGACATTAAGAAAGAAAAAAGAGTAGGAAATAAAATCTGTGCTTCTATTGCACAAATACCCAGCTGTGCACAGACTTGTAGATATTGCACCAAGAAAATAAGCAATATTTTGGCCGGAGACCAAACAGCAAAGGTTCTGTTTCTGGTCTGTAGATAATAACCAGATAGGACTTTAGAAGAGCAACAGGAAAAGCACATCGCTTTGCTCCAGGGCTGAGCAAGAAGCTGAAACCTGAGGGAGAAGAGAACGGCCTGTCCCTTGAGAAAGCACAGCCACCACCCAAGCCAAGGCTTTGAAAAGCTGGCCAAGGACCGATTACAGCGGGGACCGGAATTTACATGTGGGAAAGCAGACTGCAAGCACAGAGCCCGGCTCATAGGAGGGAGGTGTACAAGGGACTCTGGGGCCATTCCTGTGGACTGCTGCACCCACCCACCCGGGGTCTTGGCCCAGTCTGTGGGCAGCAAAGCTCAGTCCCTCCAGGGATGGGCAGAGACACACCAGCAGAGCAACTCACCCTCCTATCTGGCAGCATCTCCAGACTGATTCCTGAGGGATGCTGATGACTTGTTTTTAACAGATCCTGTTATGGAGGGTGAGTCTCACGCTCGGGGCCAGACTTCTTTTATTTCTGGTTCCCAATTATCTCCTATTTTTCTAAAAGATTAAGTTTTTCAAAGGTATTATCCTCCTCTTATATTTGACTTCCTAGTATCACCATCTCAAAAGCACCAGAGCCTCCTGCTTGCACTTGGGATCCTCCACTCGGATGGGTGGAGTTGGGGCACATTCCTCATCACCTTGTTTTAGATTTATCTAAGAGCATTGGCTTTGTGGAAGATGCTCTTTTTTTTCCCTTCTGCTTCCAGAGATATTAAATCAAAACTGGTCCAACAGGACCAATTTGGTCTCTCTGCACATTCATTTTTGGCGAGGCTGTAGCTTTTTAACTGGGATTAGAGGATTTAACAAGTGTGACTTGATGACACTCACGAATAATGAAGGGTATTGTTTTCACAGGCACCACAGTGACTTTGGTCCTAAGCCTTGCCAAGCACATTGAGGATTTAAGCCTGTAGTGACAGGATGCACTCTGGGCTTGACAGCAAAAATGGATTTTCAACTGTTTTTAAAGCCAATGTCAAATTAATACTAGAATATAAAAGCCTGGTAAAGTTTCACACAAATATTTGTATAAATACTTACAGATAATATTTTAAAATAGCAATATCAGACCCAAAGTGATGGAATATGAAGACTTATTTTTAGACTTTTTAACTGAATCCCCAATTTTGGCCTCAACAATTCAGGGTTGGGTGTGGGGAGATGCCCATGTAGCTGTGCGAGTTGAGGTGAGGCAGGATGGTCCAGCAGGCAGGACGCTATGTCAGGAAACTCAGATTCAGTTCCCTCTAAGCAAACAGGGGTGTCTTGGGGAAGTCACTCTGTCCATCACTTCATGTCCACTCCGTAGACAGCACTTCTTCAGCCCTCAGAGATACTGGAGACAGGCACAGCACTGCTCATCCCCCCCATATCACAGTGACCACCAGGCAGGTCCCACCAGGCTCAAGCAGGATTAGTCCCCTACAAGTGGTACAGCACACCCTGCCCCGGCAGCGGGCTGCCTTTCACTCCCCACAGGACTCGAGAGACGGGTCTTTACCAGCCAAGAGAGAGGACTTGGCTCAGAAACCCATGGAGCCTCCCCGCACAGCATGTTCCCTTTCTTCAATTAGCAAAGAGCTCCAGACTCGTCACGTTCACACCCCGCTGGGCTCCCTCTTGTCATTGGAGAAATAATATATATTAAAAAGAAACAAGTGAGATGAGACAGGGAGCTGCTGTTGGGGGGTGCCTGCTGTTCAGGCTACAAACCATCTACTTTGCTGATGGAAACTCAGCCTGTCTCTTCCTCTTCTCCTAAGGGAACACTGCTGATTACAGGTTGCTGGTGATTAGGAGTTGTTACCAGCACCAGCCTGTCAGCAAGAGGCCAGGAGGGCTGGTTAAAATACAGTGGCAACGCTTGCTTTGCTACGGGCTCTAGCACATTTTATCATGCTTTCAGCCAGGGAAGTGCTGTCTGGTTTCAATTTTGTAGAGCCAGAAGCCACTTCCTGATTCTGGTTGATGGGTGGAGATGCACGCAGAGGTAAATATCAGCAGGAGGACTGCTAAAGGAGCCAGGCTCTGGGGTGAGCTCACCTCAAGCACAGAGCCACCGCAAAGCAAGAGCCCCACTGAGGTCTCCCTTCAGATCAGCTGGAATCTCTACATGTAGGTGACCTCACCCCAAAAGCCACAGAGGAGACAAGAGGAAAACTGTCTGCCCCCCATCTGCTTGCAAGAAGTCACTGGGTTCACCGAGTGCAAAGCTAAACCTGAACTCACAAATGATAAGAAAAAGCATCACTGCATCTCAGAAACATGTGGGAAGCCCTGGGGAGGGTCATCTCTGCAAATGATCAGCGATTGATGGGGTGCCCATGGTTCTGGAGAAGGAGGATGGATCCAGCACGGATGCTCTCCCACAGGAGGGAGCTGTGGGGGGCAGGTGGCCGCTGATGGATTGCTTGGGTGAATTACCCCAGGTGCATTTCCCATCCTTGTTTCTCTGAGCTCTACCCTCTGGGCACCCACCAGCTCCCCAGGGCCAGGGCATCTCTGCTGGAGAAGTGTCAGGCTCCAGGTGCTGAGACTCTGACATGCAACAGTAAAACATTTCCAAGGTGAAGACTTCAGCCCATCTCAGCATCAACCCAGACAGAGACCTCTTTGCTTTAATGTAAGAAAGACAAATTTTCCCAGCAGGCTCCAGCTCACAGCCAAGTGCCCACTCCTGGTGCTATAATTAAACATCTGCTGCTTTCCCCATCATGAGTATTTGCCCAGTTCTAGCCCTCCTCACTGCCTGGTACTGCTTGCAAAGATCATCCTTTCCTGCTTTGGATATCCAAGGTAGCAATACAGTTCTTCATCACAACTCTGGCCTCAGAAGGATAATCCAATTGTTTTCTAGTTCTGCAACGAACAATCCTGCTTTGCACATTCATGGATAATTGGGAAAAAAAAAATGAAAAAAAAAAAAAAAATCAACTGTTTATCACCTTCAAGTTTCTGCTTTTTCTTAATTAAAGCTTGAGAGGAGGAGGCTGGTTCCCACCCAGTGTACAGTGATCCCACTCCCAAAGGAGGTAAATCTGTGAGTGGTGAAGGCAGGGCTGTAGCTGGCTCTTTCCACGTGCTCCCTCTTCCCTCACTGTACTGCCATCACTCTGGCCAAACCTCCTCCTTAAACCTACATGGCAACAAAACCAAACCGAAGCACAGGCCTGCCTGGCTGAGCACACTGCCTCTCACCAGGGCTGCTCAGAACATGTCACATTCGGTGCAATGCTCCACAGGAACGTGTAGCACCAGCATCTCCCTGCCCAGGACAGGGAAAGGGAGGATGGGATGAGGCTGAGCTCGACCTAAGGTTCAGCTTCAGCCACATCCAGGGCCTCACTGAAACAAAGAGCAGAAGTCTGATGGATAGCTCCTTCCAACAAAAACACAATTCAGATGCCCACACACCTTGAGAAATGTCCAGGCAGATGAGTTGAGTCTGCGCCTGGGGAATTGAAGCCAGGCTGGAGGAGCCCCCAGTCACTCTGCAGACCCCAGACTGGTCCCTCCCCAGTTGCAGCACTGCCTCGGGAAGAGCCATCGGGGACCAGAGGAAGGAGGAGGCAGAGGAAATAGGCGAGCGGCATCCATCAGCCCTACCCACGAGGTATGAGTCACGATGCAGCTCATGTAGCACAGCAAGGAAAAATACACAGCCCAGCAGCCGCTGAAGAGGCACAACCCTGCCCAGCGCTGCCTCTTGCTTTGCCAGCTGATGCCAACAGAGGCCAGACCCTGGCTGCTGGGACAGGCAGAGGCACCAAGAGCCTGGGCTGGTTCAAGCTCTCTCAGCATCTGGCCAAGCACATACAGCCAAAATGCACTTCAGAGGCTTCCTCCCTGTCCCAACAGACTTTTGTGCCAATATTCTTCCTACCAAGACAGTTTAGGAGGAGACAAAAAAAAAAAAAAAAAAAATCGAATAAATCAACCTAAGCGTTAATCATGAATATTTCATGGACTAGCAGATGTTTTAGGGCCTTGGAGGGGGCTGATTTCCCCATGAAGACCAAGATCTACATCCAGCCCAAGTCATGCAGAGCAGCCTCACAGCAAGTACACAGCACTGCCCACCGCCCCTGAAGCAGCCCCCTTTCCTCTCCCCCTGTCCGATGGCAGGATTGCTGCCTGCAGCAGAACCAGCGCATGGAGATGCATCGCAGCTGCAAAGGCACAACAGGGCCAGCAGCCTGACAGTATGGCAGGAATCCCTCCAGGCAGCTAGAGCAAACCCACTGTTACAGCCTATGTGCCAGCTGGTGGCAAAGCTTGAGCACAGACTTAAGCAATTAAGAAAGCTTCTTTGTAGGATTTTAGCCCCTCACAGCTCTAAGCCTGCAAGGTGCTCACTGGATGCATGCTGAGCATCCTCAGCTCCCACCACAGGCAACCAGTAAAGGTGCTCAGGATTTCAGGGCAGCTCTGAGGACATGGCTGCCTGCATATAGACCACACTGCTGTGTAACAGCCGAGGCTCCACACACAACTTCCCCAAAGCCTGGAAAAAACAAAGGAGGAAGGAAAGCAGAGATGAGAGCCAAAGCCTTTATGTGGGAGCTTCCCTTCCTAGTGCTATCAAGTCTTCGACTTGCAAAGCACTAGAACTACTCAAACCCTCTCACTGCTCACTGTGTGAGTGGCACATGCACCGTAACAGCGGTTTGCTGTATTTTAACAGATCTTCCCACCTGAGGAAGTTGGAGCACTTTGCAAAGACTGCTACGCTCCTACAGAGCGGTTAAAGCGCAGCTGCTGGAGGTTGTTTTCACAAAGCACACAGCTTCTCCTCTGCACCCCCGCATGCAACTCCATGGAGTATTACTCAGTGTAGAATTTGGACCAGTGTAGTTCCTTTGGCAGTGCTCCCCAGCCAGATTTACCTTGAAAGACACAGCACCAAAGAAAATACCTTTTTTACTTCCTCTAGCATAAAAAGTATGCTGTTTGTATTCCCAGGCTCATACCCTAGCACTTAATAGCCCCAAATTTCCCCCCCTTTTCCCCTAGAATCCTTCTTAAGTCATGGGCGTTGCAGGAGAGCTAACTGTGACTTGAACAGCAACTGGCTGGCTGTACTTGTCACTGGAAATTCAGTTAATTCCATGCAACAGGATAAGCCACAGGCAGGAGAGGTGGGTGTGAGAAAAGCTAGCTTAACACTGATATTCAAATACCAGTTATACTAAAACTGGCTACACTTTTGAATGAATGCTACAGAAAAAAAAAAAAAAAAAAAAAAAACAACACTGAATGCTCTACAAAATTACGCATCACATCCAAGAGCGTAGGCATACATCTTCCCACACTTTCAACTGTTTCTGGTCACAAATACGCTTGTTTCTGAAAAAGTGGCAAGAGGCAGAGAGCAGACAGTTGGCCATGATACATTATCTGAAAACGGGCATCAGCTGGAAGCACTAGGAGGGCACACACTGGATTGACTGTGGCCTGGAGCTGAACTGAGGGGCCTGGCACCACAGAGGATGGGTTTTCCACTGGGAAATTACAGTTTTGAGGGTTTGGGGGGGAAAAGGTGGGAAAGAGAGAATATGTATCAGCTCAATAATTCAGCTGAAGCTAAGCTACAAAAACAAACAAAATTACAGTTTTATTTCCTCCATTACTTCAGCACACGTTGCCCCACAGTCTGAACCCCGGAGCCAGGTGGGATCCAGGGGGCTGTGCAACAGGTCATGGCCCCAAACCCCCGGGGATCGGGCTGTCACCCCTCAGAACCCACACCCCCAGAGGGGCCCCGGGGAGCCGTGGCTGGGCAGGATGCTATGAACGCGGGTCTCCCCGCCCGAAGCACGGGTCAGCGCCGCCCTAGGCGCCGCATCGCCGTGCCGACCGGTACTGATGCCCAAGGCGGTGCCCTCACCTTTTTCAGGAAGGCCATTCGCGGCCGGTGGCGCTGCCCCTGGTCGAGCCGTGTGACGGTCATGGTGCCGGGCTGACGGAGCGGAGCGGAGCGGAGCAGCGGCCCCAGCCAGGCACACCTGGCTGCGGCCACCCGCCACCGCCTCCTCCTCGCCGGGGGCGGCGCCAACGCTGCGCGCCGCAGCCAATCAGCATCCGCCGCTCCACGCTCATTTATAGGAACGTAACTAGAAACCGCCGCCTCGGGGCGCTAGTGGGGGCCCGCTCGGGGGCGGGGCAGGGGGCGGGGCCTGGCAGGAGGGGGCCGGGCCGGGAGGAGGTAGGGGGTCATTCTGGAGGGTGCTGGGTGCCCGTGTGAGCCGAGCTTGGCAGTCACACTGGGCACGGTCCTTACACACCGGAGGGTGTTTGCACAGAGCAGGTGGTGCTGGGGAGGGGGAGGCAGGAGCTGGCAAAGCCCCCACACGCGGCTTGTTTCCACGGAGAGGGGAGAATCTGTCCCCAAAGCACTCCTCCAGTTTAAAACTGGGGTGCCCTGAGACCAGGCTGTTGTCGTGTGTATCGGGCAGCTGCTCCTTGAATGCCACTGGCCTTGGTCACCTCTGCTCATGCAGGAGCCAGATTGGGTGTTTTTGGGGGGGCTTGGTGGCTTTGCCATGCGGGGAAATTGTGACTAACGGTGACCAGAGAAAGACCACAGGGTTACAGAGTGCTTCCTCACGATGGAGCTAGCAATGGGTGGGGGAGCAGTACACAACTGGCAGCACTGGAAACCAAGAGCTCCATTTTTCTGTTTTCTTAAGAAAAGGGTGGGATTTCCTGCCGATGCCCAGGGCTCGGGTAGCCAGCACAGCTGGGCAGGAGAGGGCAGGGTCCTCACCCGTGTGGCATCTCACTGTGCCAGGGCTCCTATGAGGCTTTCCCAGGAATTCCTGTCAGCCACGTGGGCACGTTGCCTTTTGTACCTCCCCGCACACCACACAGAGAACACGCACGGACGGGAGTGTGCGCTCCCGCCTCGGTATGCACGCAGCACCACCTGCACACATGCTGAGCGGGCTCTCTCACCACGCTCTCCATGAGCAGGTCCCCCCCAGAGCTGCTGTCGTGCTCCCACACATCCCACTGACATGCGGGGACCAGTCATACAGGCACGATTATACCTCATCCATAGCTGTTTCTCGGCGCAGTGCCTTCCCCGCCGCGGTGTTTGCGACTGTTCTGACGTTACAGTCTGTAGTTCCACACTTGAGGAAAGCGCGTTGGCTCTGATCTTGGAGCAGAGCACTTCTTCCATTCACAGTAATACCCTGAAGGCATGGGCTGCCTTCCCCGTTGCTTTGCCGCTCTCGTAGAAGTGTTTTATCTTTATCTCTGCTTTTTCACAGTATCTGTGCAAGCCAGTTCTTTGGAAGGCCTTTCTATGTCTGCTCAGAGTCATTCCCATGTGAAATCCCTCCATGAGTCACAGCAGCTGCTGGATCAGACAATCCTTGTTTTCCAGAAGGCTTTTCCACCCTTCTCTGCTCCATGCTGCTAGGTGACTTAACGATTATGAGTAACCTCTGTCATTTCACAAGCTAGTAGCAAAGTTACCATACTTAATGCTTCAAGGCATCAGCTGACAGCCAAAAGGAGCAGGAGGAGAGTTCTCCACACGTTTGCAGTGTATCATAATTCAAGTGTTGAGGTGCTGGTTGGTTCTTTGAAACCATACTCAGATCCTGGTAGCCCTCTGAAATGGCAAAGGTGACATAAATGCCAGGAGCATGGATGGTCCTAGAGGGAAACAGTGGGAGAGAGGGAATTCAGAGTGGAGTCAGAGAAAGCAAGGGAAAGGACAGTGAAGGCATGCAGGCTTTTTGATGATGCTATCTAACAAAAGTGATTCCATCTCTGTTTGAGAGACAGATACTGGCAGAATGGGATCTCTATACATGTAAGTAATTAATTGGGACATAAATAGCACACAAAAAGATGTAGTTCATTTTTTTTATTTGGTAGGCAAACAGCGAAAACTTGTTACAAACTACAAACGGTTCCTCTGAACGGCTATTTTCTTTCCCTCTCTTGGGTGGTGGAGGGACTCAGAAGTATCCTAGGTGAGGTGCAAACACTGGCCTAAACAAAGGATCAGTCACCACTGATGTGCCCCATGCATTTATAGGAATAAAAATGGTCATTTCATCCCAAAATACTAACTTTAAAAATTGCACTGAGGAATACAGGTATCTTATTCATGAGAAATATGTGAAAACTGGGTCTACAAATGAATTAAGAAAGAACAGAATTTCCTTGCAAGAGATCCAGAAGAAATAGCTCTGAAGACCTCAAGCTGAGGTGTGAGCTCTTCAACCTTGCTGAGCTCCAAAGCTCCCAGTAATTTTAAATCCAGCTGATCCACCACAGACACCCTCTTGTAGATCAGGTGTGGATTTTTTTCCATTTCTAGTCTTCTCTGACAAGCTCAAATAAAGCCTGCATATATTTCTCTCTCCGTTACAAAGCTAATCATGTCTTTGCTATAGATGTCCAATGTAAATTGAGCTTTGTTAGCATCTACAAACCACCAAACACAAGATCAGAGACAAACCGCATTTCACCTGCTGCCCAGGTGAACTACCCCAGCAGCTAATGTGCTACAGCAGATCTGCCATGTGAAGCACAAGGCATTTAAATCAGCTTATACAAGCTTGTAAAGGGCAGACGCTCCTGGGCCTCTAATCACAAAACCTACACTTGTGGAGAACAAACAATTCCACAATCTTTGACACAGTCTGGTCCATTTTATGTGTGAATCTGTTGGTCAAAAAGCAAGGGACTTGAACAGTGGGGGAGAGTGGTAGAGAGCACCGGGAACGGCCGTGCAGCCTCCCTGCTGATTTCTGGCTCCACAAGTTAGTCCTGGCCTTTTTGCACCCCCAGATAATGAAGAAAGGCGTTTCCTGGGGAGTCCACTTTACCTCCCAGTGTCTGCTTTCTACAGTAAATCCAGTGCTATTTATGTAACTGCAGGTATACATGGATGTTCATACCCCACACAGGAGGGAAATGACACTACAGTGAAAATGCACTCGTGGTCAATGCATCACAGGGCAACGGTGCATACCCATGTGCTCTCCAGAGCTCACGGATCCCTCTCAGCCTGCACCCAAGGTCACAGAGTGTGTCCTGGTTGGGAAAAGGTCTGGTGAGAGTTGAATTTTGTCCCTCTGTTCTCCGTGTGAAGCCCCCATAACCTGTGATTGTTCTCAACAGACCCGCTCACAATTCTCAACAGTTTCTCTTGTGGAAAGCATTGCAGAGGGCATCCCCCCTTTTTTTTAAAGATCACATTTCCTACGTGGTTGCCCCTTCTTCACACATCAGAAGTTGAATCATGCAATGCAAAAGGCATGTGGTGAGTAAACTACCTTTCTATCTAAGGAAACTGGGGTCAGCCCTGAGGGGAAGGAAGGGGTAATGTAAGTGAAGCAACGAGAATGGTACCACGAGCGTGGCAAGCAGAGGCTGAATTTCAGTACGCAGTTCCCTCCAGGAAGATTTAAAAGCAATTTACAAAAAAAAAAAAAAAGGGCAAACTGCGGCATAGAGAGAGACATGACTTAATCGCAGGTCTCCCAGCAAGGCAATAGTTAAAGCACTATCTCCAGAGTCCAGTGAGCACTCAAAAAGAGAAGCTTCCTTAGCAGCCACATGGGAAGAGCTGTGAGCACGAATGGGCAGCATTTGCTTCCCATCACTCCTGGATTTTCCAGGGACAGGAAAGCTAAGGAAAGAAGTGGCAAAGAGGAAGGAAAAAAGCAAAACAGAGACAGACCTTATGCACCCTGCCAGAGAGCCTGGCTGCTGGGGTGAGAGGATGCAGCTGGGTTAACACCTGACCCAGGACTGAGCTATTTGGTTTCCCCTGCTGAGCTGGATGACGCTGAGCCCAATTCAGTTGCCTCTCCAGGGAACACTGTCACCCTCAGTGCAGGAATAGCCCTTCCCGCTCTGCAGCACGCTGAGAGCCATGCTCCTGTGCCAGGAGATCAGGAATGGCATACCTAGGAGGTTTTAGAGGGCTTGCCAGCTGCTGGGAACGTGAAGGGTAGAGGAGGTAGGGCAGCACTGGCAGGAGGCCAGGATACTCTTGGATACCCAAGACTTAGGTGACTTGGGCAGCTGGATATGTTGAATGACATATTTGGTATTTGAGAATGAAGTGACAAATCTGAGAGAGAGGGGTGGCAGCAGACAGGGGTGGCAGGGACCTGTGCTGAGAGGGACAGCAGGAAGCAGACAGCTGGAGCGTGATGGTTGCGCAGGGCAGTTGGAGGGAAAGGCCAGAGCAAAGGGAGGGTTTAGCAAAGTCACCGGGTAGGCGAGTTCATGGGGGAAAGTCAAGTGAAAGGAGGAAAAAGAGGAAGGAAGAGGGCAAAACTGAGAATCCCAGAGAGGACCAACATGAGACGGAAGCCACCCTGAAAGGAAGCCCAGGTAGCCCTAGGAGACACTTGTTTGTCCTGAAGTAGTTCTGGCCTCTGGTGAGGGATGTCCCAGGTTAGGAAGGTGATACTGCTTTTGGCAGACACCAGAAAACACCTTGTACTCTTCTTTCATTCATTTGTTCGTTCATCCTTGTTGTTGCAGCCCAAGTTTTAGGTGTATCCTGCTGCTGGCGTGCAAGGCAAGAACTCATTATGCCACCCTTGCACAAGCTTGGCTGGTTATCATCTCTGCTACACGACTATGATTTTCTTAATCTGCTTCTACTACTTATGGCATTTTATTTTTTTTTTTGGCTATACTTCATTGGTAGGTATTAATTAACTCCTAAAAAGTTTCCTCGGTCATTTCTTCCTTTTTCTAAATTAAGATTATTTTTAGGAAAAAAGCAGAAAAACATTGAGACAAAAAGTCAGCAGACATCAAAGTTAGAGATGTAAGGAGAGACAAATGTTTAATATAATCTTTACATATGTGATTGCATGTATGTGATTTCAACACTATAAATAGCCACGTCAGGAAAGCACAACATGGACATATGTGCTTGCAACTGAGCTACACCATACGTGTGTATGCTTCCTTTTCAGTCATATGTGGTTTAGCTCCATCCTTACGCCTACAGGACATAACAAGTGTGTCAGTGAGC